AAGCTCCACAGGAGTGATAATTTGAACAATACCCTTTGGAAGTTAAAAATTTAAATAAATTGTTCAAGTTTTTAAATTAAAATAAAAATATATCATATTTAATAAGTTAAGATAATTTTATATTTAAAATAATCTCAATGATATTTGAACATAAAATTTTTTCGTCAAAAAGATAAATCTTAACCATTAAACCGATTGCCTGTTCATAATTTCAACAATACCCTTGTTAATCTAGGTTGGAATATTAAGCACCTGGAAGAAAGAGGTCTGTGAAGGATCAAACCCGGTGTTGCCGGGTGGAACAACCAGATCAATGGGCACAATCAGATCAGCACGTGCAGGAGCTGCAACCTTGTACTTGGCAACTTCCTCACTCTTTTCCTTCAAGTCCTTTGTAAAGATTAAACCCACATTTCCCTGAAGCAAAGGGTTAAGATTAAGGAAGCCTGGTTCCCGGTCTTCTCAGCATGCATCCTAATCGACCTTTTCATCATAGTATTTTTACCCATGAGAACAACTGAGGCACCTCGGAGACCTTTGCGAATATTCTGGAGCTGGTTCGAACCCACGTTGTTGGCTGCGGCGATTAAGATCCGGGTATACTTGTCTCAGAGCTGGCACAGTTTCGCGTCGAACATGATTTTCTTGTCTGCCTTGGAGGGTTTCACTGCCATTTCGCGAAAGAGTTAGTATTAAAGATAAAAAGTTGTACAGAGGGCAAAATCGAGGGCCAAGACGATGCCTGATGCTTAGCCAAGGCGGACAGCCAGACGACGCCGTCTCTTTAACCTCTGCTTCTATTTGCGAGTGGTTGAGAGCGAAAAAAAAACCTAGAGGGCTTTGGCTGCTTTTTTTTTTTTTTTTTGTTAATTGCTTCTGAATTCTTTTATCTACGTTGGCTGTTGGAAGCTCTATGTGAGTTCGGTTCGAAGTATGGGTTTTCTGGGTTTTGGTTTCCTTGCTATTCTATATTGTTTGTGAACTTGGTTCTGGGTTGATGTGTGGGAAATTTCAGGTTTAAACGAAGTGAGGCAGGTGATGGTGGTTTCGGGACTAGATTGTGGGCATTTGGGATTTTCTATGAATTCTTGTTTCTAGGAATTGAATTTTTGCTGGATTGACTCGGGTGCGAACTGGGGACTGATTTTGGATTTGGGTTTGTGCAATTTCTAGCTTCTGGAATTGTATTTGATGAATGTTTCTTGGCTCTATTTGGATTCTGTGTACGTATTAAACTGCTATTTCTGGAAATTGGCTCAAATTTTGGATTTTTTTGTTCTGCCTGGATTGCCTTCTTGCTTGTTGTTGCTTCTTTGCTTGATGCCTTATTTGTGACTTTCTGTTTTTGCTTTATTTTTAGCCAATTGTGTTAGCTCTCGGTTCTTGCAGCCGATCGGTGTCTGATTAAGGCTCACGGTTTGCTGGGATTCCTGTTTGACACTTCTGGGTTACTGACTAATTCTGGAACTGGCTTCCTTGACCGAGAATTCCTTGACTTTGCTCCAGACCGCTTGGTGTTCTGGAAATTGATTGGAAGCTGTTGATTGCTCTGTGTTGTGGCGATTGCTTCGTGGTTGATGTTGGGTTAACGGGAGAGGAGACAAAAGAGGTTTGATGGTGTTCTGTTTTGACGATGATGGTGATTGGGTGCCAGATGTGGGGGTTTAGTGTATGCCAGTAATTTGGCTGATGGATGGCCTCCCCTATTTTTTTTTGTGTGCTCGTAAGGGATTTAATCCCTTTGAATACGGGAAATCAATCAACCAATCTGAACGTGATTTGACTTAATTTATATGATTTTAATGTTAATTAATTTTGAAATTAAATTTTAAAATTTTTTAAAGACATTTAACTCGTAAAATTTTAAATTTAAAAAAATATATATGATCTTTTTAGAAAGTGTGATATTTGCAGGTTTTTTTTTAAGTATAATTCATTCATTTGATTAAAAATTTTTTTATATATTAATATTTAAATAATTATCACAATCTTTTTAATATATATGATGATAATTTTTTATTAATTTTTATTAATAATAAATATTCAAATGAAAAATAATGTTTTTAACAATAAAAAATAAATAAATAGTTTATTTGATTATTTTTTTAAAAGAAATTATTTAAGTTATTTTTATCTAAAAATATTTTAAATAAATATCATTTAAAAAATATGAGAGAATTATTTAAAGTGTTTTGGTTCAAAAATATTTTAAATAGTTTTTAATGTTTTTTAAAAGAGATTATTTTTAAAAATATCTTAAATAATTTTTTTTAAATATAAGGAGATTATTTGAAGTGTTTTTTATTTAAAAAATCTTAAATAATTTTTTTAAAAATATATCAGGAGATTATTTAAGATATTTTTGATTTAAAAATATCTTAATAAAAAATGTTTTAAATAATCCTTTAAAAATTTTAAAGGACATTATTTAAAGCATTTTTTATAAATGTTTTTTATAAAAAAAATATTTTAAATAATACATTTTAATTTTTTTGATCGTATTATTTAAAGTATTTTTTATTAAAAACATTTTAAATAATTTTTTTATTACTTATAAAATTTAAAAAATAAAACATAAAAAATTTAGAATAGCTTAATCGGTTAGAGCATATGATTATTAATCATAAAAATGTAAAGTTCAACCTTTTTCTTTTAGCGCTTTAAAATTGTGGTAAGAGGATTGTTTATGGCGTTTTTGACTAAAAGTGTTTTAAATAATCTCTTTCATTACTTATAAGATTTAAAAGATAAAATATATAAAAAAATTAGAGTAATTTAGTTTGTTAGAGTGTATGGTTATTAATCTTAAGTTTATAAGTTTGATTTTTTTAGGATTACTTATAAGATTTTTTTGGATTATTTAAGATGTTTTTTGTTAGAAAATGCCTTAAATAATATTGATCAATTTTTTTAGGAGATTATTTAAGATATTTATATAGGGTATTATTTAATGTGTTTTTAGCCAGAAAACACCTTAAATAATAATAAAAAAATGAACAGAATTATTTAAGGCATTTTTATCAGAAAATGACTTAAATGATCTTTTAAAAAAATTAAACAAAATTATTTAAGGCATTTTTTATGTGAAAACGTCATTAATTGTAATATAAAAAAAAAATTTTAGTAGTAAAAATCTACAATTGATTTGCAGTTGCTTTCAAACATGTTTTTTAAAATAGTAACGACTATTTTATAATTTTTTATTTAGGTCAAGTTTAAAAATAACATAATTTTTTTCCCATAATTCTATAATATCACAGGAAGAGGTGGATTTTTTATTCCAAAACTTTGATACTATTGAAAATTTATTACTTTTCCTCAACATGAGATTTTCTTAAATTACATATTGAAATCAAATACCAAACAATAAGATTCTAAGAAAAAATGCATGGATTGTTTTGAACCAAATGCCCCTTTAAAATCATCTTTACCAAATTTTATTGAAACTTTCCCTTTTCTGTTTTTTATTTAGTAAAATTAAAGGGTAAAATTAAACCAAAAATTAAGGTAGGAATAAATTTTTTTCAATTGGGTCCGAAACTTCCCAATCCAGTTCAATTTGCGGTTGAAGTTCGTTTTCAATTTCAAAAAACTTTTCGGATAAAATTTAATTTTAAAAAAAATTTTCGAAATAAAATGAAGTTTCAATAATAGCATGTGTTGGAAAAGTACAAATGCAGAGGCAGAAATACTATCCTTTTATGCTAGCAAGTAACATAAGAAGACTCGAAAGTTCTATGTAAAACATGATCTAATGATTTTATTTTCTTTCGGCAACACACCCTTAGAAGAGTAGCAGAGCAGCCTTTAGCCATGGAAAATTTAACCAGCAAGAATGGTGCTTTTAGACTAAGATAAAACCAGCATGAAGTTCAGATAATTGTTTTTAATTGTTTTCTATTGATGGGAAACTGTCAAAGCATGCAGGACAAGATTAAAGCTTTTAATTGCAGTTTTATGATGCCAAAATGTTCTACTTGGAAAACAACATGAAAATATCACCTACTTTCCCATATGTTTTACAACAACTCTTCTGTCAGTAATACTGATGAGGCATTAAATTATTCTTCATCATCGTGCTCTAGCTTATGTGAGGGTTTCCCATTAACATCAGAAGCAAGCTTAGCTTCAAATGACTTGGAAGGCAACCTCTCATAAACTCTTGATCCTGCAGAAAGAAAGCCTACACTGTCTGAAGGCAAGGAATCTGGCTAAGTTGCTCATAATTCCACCTTTGCTGACAATAGACGGCAGCTGCAAGGAAAACTGCAGTGATGAGAATTGGCAACATCCCCAAAATTAGAGTAGAAGCCCAAAGTTGGATTCACAAACTCATACTAATCTGCGAAGTAAGGGTTGGAAACTGGAAGCTCTTATATAGTCATAGAGACGAGGGAGAAGTCTGACAACCGTAATCCCAAAAATATAGTTTCCTAAGAGATTTACAATCGATTTGCCAGATAAAATTACCAATGATTTGAGGGAGCAAGAAGAAATCCTGAACAAGGCCAATATTCTAGTTCAATTTCCCATTCCCGTAGCAATTGGGAGTGACCCCTTGAATCTATAAACCTATCTGTTCGAAGTGGTATCTGACTAGTTTTCACAGAATGAATGATCAGAACAACTATGTATCCAATGACATGCATGGTAAGGGTTGCAATAAGTACCCGCTTGTCACTTGGGACACGATGTGATTCAGGTTGGGTTCATGAAAGTAATCTGATCTGAGATTTCCACACCTTCTGAAAAAGCCTAAGAGTGAGAAGAAACATCATTAGAACAAGAAGCTTTACCATGTAATCAATTAAATTCAACCACTGACTTTTCTCAAGATCATAAGATCGCATTTCATAAGAATCAGAAGCCTCTCACTTGAAGAGAGCTTCGGCACCAGTAATAAGAGGAAGACCATACCCAATGGCTTGGACACCCAGCATGACAAGGGAAATAAAAGGAGATGAATCAGCATTCTGCTTGAGGTAAAACAGTTGACTTGAAATGCAAGCAATTGCTAATGAAAGAGTCAAAATACAGCGGATTCCATCAACACCCGGCGAGAGAGAATCTCTTCCCTCTGCTTTCTGTACATAATTGGAAGAGTTTGAAGCTTATTCATTCCAAAATATAGTGGGTCATCTTCATTTCTCTGGCCGGCTATTGAAATTCTCAGAGTTGGATTGACCAGCCACAGAGCTGTAGTGGGAGGGTACGAGTATGACACTATGACTTCTGTCAAGCAATCCAACCCGGATTCAAGATCCATGGTCTGAACTAAGATCTTCCACGAGGCCGGGACATCCCTGCAGCCAACAAGATCCATCCGTCCAAAATGTGGATCATAAAGACCCTCTGGAAAAAGAACAGAAAAATTGCTATCATCTTTTCTGATAGTTGTTAGTTGAGCTGATACATTCAAAAGGAGCTGTTTTTCAGTGTGCTTAGCTTTAATGTGATAAGGTGTGTCTTCTTCTCTGGTGGTTGGATTTCTTGAGTGCCAATAGCGCCCAAGCAATGGACCAAGTGTAAAAATATCCATCTGAATATCTACTCTTGGGGGATGAGAATTTGGAAACTGATCAGGAACTGCAGAGATTTGAAGGGTCAGATCTTCTGCAAGGATAGAAAGGTTGGATAGAAAGTCATCTGTGTCTTCCAGTTTAGGAAACTGCAGCAAGGATTTCTTGACTAGAGTTCCAAAACTGAACGGGTCATTTTTTTCTAGGATTACACCAGCTGATTGGAGTTTGAGTAACTATAATAGGGATGTGGTGCTCTGAAGTAATTCCACAACTTTGAGGGCCTCACTAACCTTTCAAATGATAAAGGGAAGTACACCTTATTACTTTCATCAATACTTGAAATGCTCCCACCAATTATGCTTCGTTGCTTTATGGAGAATGAGAGAGGAATATACAAAAAGATACGAGAGTTACAGCTACTCCCTTCTACATCTACTATGCCAAGACAACCAACCATGCAAAGCTGCCCACTAGAAGAATTCCATATTCCTTCAGTAGCTAGAGTCATGTTGCTAAGCCCGGAGCTCCGTCTCATTCTATACTGATCCTCTGATGCAGGAGCAGCCTGAAAAACTGCAGCAACTCTGGCCATACTAGCATTTTGATGCCCATTAGTTGGTTTGCACCTCACATCCTGCATGTAACGTATTGAAGCTTCCATTTGTGGTTTTAATCTCTTTATCTTTCACAAAAGGACCCAACTTACTACAGTAGTCATCCGTGCCATTGCATTTCCAGTTTGGCACAACGGTGGAAGTTCCACTATTAGTAACTTGCTCAAGAATTGCACAGAAGCTATTGCCTTTGTGACATTGATGCCAGCATTCATCAAGTTTTCTCAATATGGATAAGGATTACATGCCTTGGATACAATCTTCTCAGAGCCAAATTCATATTTTGTTGACCTGAGCATCTGGGCCAAAATGTTAACTTGATCAAAGTACTTCTCATTTGATTTTGGATTTAAACTTTTCAACTCCCCTCGTATCACCCTATTAGTCAATGAATGTGTCAATGGGTAATGAAGAACAAGAAATATCCGATCATCTTGCAAAAGAGGTGCTTGGTTGCAATTTAGATCAGAGCCTTTCAACCAATCCCGTGGATTCTTTGAGTCAGACGCCCTAGATGGCAACATTGCATTCCCCAACAAACACATCACTCTTTCCCCACCATTCTGTTTGGTTTCAGTGTAAATCCCTTCAAATGAAATTGCAAGCTGTGTATGACTAGACCATATCTGAAATCGAGGACTTCCCTCATACGGCCTCTCTGCAAATGAAGTATCTAGTGTTAACCCCAACATCGAAATGCCACTGACACTTACAGACTTGTTAGTCCGATAGTCGAGATCAACATCCGTGATCCAGAAAGAAGCTATAATCGAAGGAGCCTGTGATAAATTCTTAGGCATATTTCTATCATCAAACGGCATAATGGGAGCATCACCTACATCCTGCCGCCAATCCCCACACCCAAAATTCAGCTCTTCTTTTATATCAGCTATCCTATTATCTTCAGCTTTAAATTTAGAAGCAGATTATAAACTGGTTTACAATGTTTCTTTACCTCATCAATTCTTTCATACTTGAAATCCACTTCCACAGAATATCCTTTTTTGAACTCAAACTCCACTTCTGAGACATAATTTGTTAACCCTATTATAAACATCTCATACATTATACAAACAACAGCTAGACAAACACTCCTCATGCTTCCAAATTTTCAATATTCAATCACTTTTTTCAATATTTCTTAGCTACCCACTTCCTAGAAGATACCACTAAAAATCAACACCCAATTTCTCATAACACAAAACAAAAATTACAAAGACTGCAGCTTTGCTACATTGCCATATAAAGACTGCAGCACGACCATTAGAATCAGATTCAAGCTTATTGCTTGGTGGGTGCTTTTCCAAATTCAATGACTCAATTGAGTACAAGAAAGACAAACCTGAAATTTTTGGTTGTGCCGGTTTAAGTTCTTGCAAAGTTTCTGGGAACTTCAGTCAGTGAAAGTTTGGATCATGGAGAATGCTTAAAGTGAAAGACTTCGTAAGTGTTGTAGCGTTAACAGGTCAATGTCCGTTTGTTTGTCCCTCCATTTTTTTTTTTAAATTTTAATTTTAATTTTTTACTTTCTATTAATTTTAACATTATTGAAGGCGTTTCTGACAAAAAATGACTTGAATAAATCCTGGATTATTGAAGGTATTTTTTGCCAAAAACACCTTTAATAATCCCTTAATTTTTTGAAACTGATTATTCGAGGCGTTTTCTGCCAAAAATGCTTTTAATAATCCTTTCTCATTTTTTTTTTGTGATCATTCAAGGCATTTTTATAATAAAACACCTTGAATAATTTCCTTTAGGCATTTATAAGGAGATTATTGAAGGCGTTTTGGCCCAAAAAACATCTTGAATAATTTTTAACAAAATATTGAATGGGGTTATTGAAAGCATTTCTGACCATAAACACCTTTCATAATTCTTGAATTATTGAAATTATTTTTGGTCAAAAATGCCTTCAATAATCTCCTTCAAATTTTAGAGAGGCTTATTCGAGGCATTTTCTGCCAAAAATGCCTTAAATAATTTATGATTTTTTTATTGGGATTATTCAAGGCATTTTTATCCAGAAAATGCCTTGAATATTCCCTTACAAAAAATTGAAGGCATTTTTTTGGTAAAGCACCTTTACTAATCATTTTTAAAATTCATTCCCCTGTCTTGAACTTTGGAATCCCAAACTGTTATTATAGAGAATGATTAAAAGTTGTATTACAGTCAAACTAAACCTCAAAACCCATTTAGTTTACCTTTTGGTTTCTTTATGTCTCTTGTCACCGTCAATCTTCAACAACTGAACACCGTCATACTTTTTTTTTATCGATATATCTTTATTTTATTTGTTTTTTGTATTATTTATATTCTTTGATATAGGTATTTTTTCGTTCTTTACTATATATATTTTTCATTGATTCCATCGTCACCTTAGTCGTTTAATTTTCCTTCATTGCATGTATAGTGTTTCTTTATAGTTTGGTTTAAATATTTTGGTTGCTGAATGGTATTATGGAAATCGCGTGTATGTTTTTTACTCATCATTTATTTTGCATGGAACTTTTATTTAAGGTAAGAATCACAGTATGACTTGTATTCATAAAATATTATTGGTTTGAGGATGTTTTACGTATATTGGTGTAGTAACTGTAGTATGATTATTACGTATTGTGTGAAATTTAGAGAGACAGTTTGGTTTATTTCATATAATTATGATCAAAATTGCAAGTATTATGGAATCCGAACAACATACTTCTCATGCTACTAAACATGAAGATGACACACCTATAGTTGAAAAAAAAAATGCAAGGGAACAAACTAAACAAATTCAAGTGACTGACACAAAATTCATATTGACTTCAATCAAAATGGACAGTCTATGTTGATAGAGCTGCCAAGTTGGCTAGTCATATTGGAGCGATCATCCGTAGTAGCATTTTTATTACATACCATAAATTGAAGATGTATCCCTAATGATCTAAGGATCATATATGGAGTCGTTGTGGTATGTTTATTCAACTATTTCATAAAATTGTTAAATAATTATTTAATTAAATTCAATGTTTTCATACTAATTGTGTTAAGTTTATTATGAACTATTCGACATCCCAATTGAGTGTAAAAAGCTTATGTTGCAATCGACTGGGAAAGCATTTAGAGACTTTAAAAACAAATGAATACCTAATATATTTTACCGTTCGTTGATCATGGTGATGTCTTGGCTGTTCCACCTTCGTCATATATAAAATGTTATAAGTTATTAAGATTGGACGAATTTTGTTCAAGATTGACTATCAGAATAATTCTCGGTACACATACCCATTACAAAAAATTGTTTATAAGATTTTATGGAATATATTTGATATCTTAATATGTGATTTATGTAATTTCTTTTTTTTTTTTCTAGAAAATCAAAGAACAACAAAAGAACATTTAGGCCAAATAAGTATATCACCATCATACATCAAGAAACGGTTATGCAAATGTCAAGTATGAGCTTGTAAGTATTCACACACTTATTTTATACTCATAAATGAATATTTCTGAACATTCGTTTAATAGATTCTAATTCTTATATAACGTTAATTTATTAGGAATCATTTAGCTTTGGCAGTAAAGTTTGTAAATAAAATGTGTGGAAAAAAGGACATATGCGAAAGGATGGATCATTTGTAGATGAAGCAACCAAAAAAATGGCTAAAGAGATTATATGTATAATTGTTCATTATATCACGTATGATTGGCTTTGTGCTTGTATGCATGACTCTATACTTGTATAGATTTGTT